ATAAGAGATATGGAAGTTTTTTGTTTAAACCAAGTAGTAATTTATTATTATTTATTTTTTTATTATTTCATTTTCTCTCTCTCTATATATATATATGTTTATTGAGTTTTTGTGTATTTCACAGAATACAATTTGATCATATTAAGAACCCCTCCACTATCTGCACTCCCCTCCCCATAGCTGACTACTAAATTTCAAATATTCTGTCATGTATGTTAAGGCCTATCAAGTTACATGTGACCTCAGATACCCTTGATGTGCACTCATCCACTGGAACCTAGTCAGTTTATCTAGTGTCACTGCCTTAAGAAGACCAACTGTCCTCCACCCAGTAGTGATCATCCACCAATAGTTTGTTGGCTAAGATTGAGGTCACCTGCCCATTTTCCCAGTTCTATGATGGGTATTTGTCTGGTTTTAATTTGCATGGGTGTTGTGCATATTGGCACCAATGCTGTAATTCATATGAGCCAGGTCCCAGGAGCCTAGAAAACTATTTCCTTGTGATCATCCACAATGCCTGGCTTTTACAATCTTTCTGTCTCATCTCCTCCATAGGTCCCTGAGCCCTGAGTGGGAAAGGTTTTTAATAAAAGAATCCAAACTAGGGACACACACTCTCTGGTCTCTTATTCTCTACTCTCTTGATTTTGGCCAGTTGTGGCCTTTTGTGTTAATCACCCTCTTTTGCATGAGAAAATTGAACTGATGATAGTTTAGTGATGAATTAGAATTCTATCCACACCCATTCTACCATTTTCCATGAGCCTAAGGTGATATGCACAGCAAACCATCTCTATTGGTGCAGTAGTGGCACTTTTATCTTGGGGTAATCAACAGCTATTGGGACTTAAAGCAAACTCGATGAGAGGAAACTCATGTGTGCTACTGTAAACATAGCCAAATATACATGACTGGAGAGGTCATAGATCCTAGAGAAATCCCTAAGTCAGTCACATCCCTAGCAAATGTAATTCCTTACTGCATGCTAAATTTGGATCCTTGTATTATAGACAAGCATTCCTGTCACCACTCACTAAAGAAGCTTCTTTTTGAAATAGATACTGTTACAAAGTTCCACAACTGGTCAAACATAGAGAATACCTGTATGTGAGATGCCCAGCCTTAAGTGACACATTTACACTTAAGTGGAATTTTGACACTTAAGGTACATGAAGTGTTTGTAGCAATAGAACAAAGAAAAGTCTTAAATCAAGACATTTTCTAAATACATTGGTGGAAACATTAAGTAGCCTGTTATAACAAAAGAGCAATCACAACTACAGGACTCAGATAACTATCTTAATGGTACTCAGCCTTTTGGTTGGTGAAACCTAGTGACCTACTAAATAAATACATTCCAAAACATTTTAATGTATTAGTCACAGGATGTTAAGTCAGAAACAAAGGTGGGCAAGGAGTGGCTATTTAGGGTGCTAAAGTTGGCTAAGCAGGCTAAGATAAGTGGTAATTAGGCTCTGGAGCTACAACATTCCAAACTCTCCAGAACCTCTGAAGTTCTAATAGGTTGATCAGCCTTTGTAGAATGTTCAGTTTTAAGATGCACTTTTCTGAGAATTTTGTTCACAGACTCAAATCAGATCAAGTAGCCTGCATATCCAGAAAATATAAAAACAGAAATATCTAGTTTCTGATTATACTTTATGTTTTTCATGTTTGAGATAGATGTGTAAAATGGAACTTTATTGTATGAAAATAAGTAAACTAAATGTGATAACATAATTCAACTTGCCCTTGGGACTTATATGAAAAATAAGCTCTGCAATAATGTAGGGATGGTGGGAAACTAGAAAGTAAAAGATCTTGTGTAAATTAGACTTGGACTACCCAATTACCTTTGTTGAAGCTGAATATAATATTTCCTGGAGTACCTGGCATTTGATATTAAATTAAAAACCTGTTTTACATGTACTCTTCCAATTTTTAAAAAGTATTGGCTCAAAGCAATTGTATGTCAACACAAAATAAATTTCATACTAAATCGTCCATTATATAACCAGCATGAGATATCTTAAAAAACTGGCTTTGATTTCAAACAATCTGTCAGCTCTTTTTCAGAATGCAAATGGAAAATACAAAATCATATCAATCAAACCCCTATTTATGATTCACTTGTCAAAGCAAGTTATTTATTTGTTTGATTGTAGATACCCTAAGACAGCTGATCCATTTTTACCTCTCTTTGGAATTACTGTCTCTGCTTCTAACTTCTGTATTGTTTTGCCCTGGCTCCCTTCCATCTATTCTTCACAGAGCACATACAATGACATGGTCTGTGCACAAGACTAGACATGCCAATCTCTATCTGAAAGTGATTCATTGTCTTCCATTTGTAGTAGAAGGCCAAACCTTATCATATCTAAGGTGACTTGCCATGATAAGTATCCAATCAGTATCATTTTTCCTATAAGAAGGTTTCCAACTCCCTTTTCCTCTTTACCTTTAACACAATTCCTCCCTGGGTTTTCCCAAAAATTCTGGACAATCTTTTCCTTGATGGTATCTTTTCTTTCTTTCAGAGATTTTTTGAACCATTTGGTTTTATTAAATGTGTATAAGTGTTTTGAATGCATATATATTAGTGTACCATCAAATCAAATTCTATGAAAATGCATGCAATGCCCATAGAAGCTAGAAGAAGTGACCAAATCCCTGAAACTGGAGTTATAGTGGGTTAATTACCAAAATGTGGGTATTGTGAACCAAGAACTGGGTCAACAAGTGCTCTTAACCATTGAGAATCTCTCCAGTCCACTTGCCATTTTTAAACATATTTTTATTGAATTTGGAGTATTTTCATATAATTTGATTTGATGGTATTTAGAGCCCTTTCCCAATCCACACCTCTCATTACTGCCCCCTCCCAGTTTAAAGTGTATACATGTATAGCCTATGGAGCCTAATTTATGTCCCAAAATGTCCTTCAATGTCAGTCCATCCACAGGAGCTTGATTAACCTTCCAAGAATCCCATCCTTGAAAGAGACTGCCTCTCCCCTTCCTAACACCCACTGATTGCTAAAATTTCTTTAGGTTGTGTTGGGATTTCCTGCCCATTTCCTCACACCTTTGTGCTTATATTTTGTTTGGTTTGGGACTTGTGAATGCTGTCACCATTACTGCAAGGTTATATGAGTATCTGACCATCTGTCTGGAAAACTCTTATTTCCCTGTGGTCATCCAACACCTCCGGCTCTTACAAACTTCCCAGTACCTCTTCTGCAATGTTGCAAGGCAGAAGTTTGATATAGGTGTCCTTTAATTGGATAAGCACTCTTCAGCCTCCTGTTCTCTGAACATTGGCCTGTTGTGAGTTTCTGTGTTAATCACCATCTGCATAAAGAAGTTTCTCTGGTGATATCTGGCAAACTAGATTTGATTTTGAATTTTTTTGCAGAATTCTTATTCATTGACCATGGGGAGTGATAGAGAAATGCAGACTTCAAAAGGGACTTAAAACTACAGTTGTGTTTTTTGTTGAGAAGGGAGGTAAGAGGAGACACAGTTGAAAATGTATGTGCTGCATGAATGACATGGAAAGGCATTAAAATGTGCTGTGAAAACCATGCTATAGGCAATTCCAATGAAACTAGAGATAAAATTACTTAAATATTTTAATGAAGTTCTTGTGAAAATTTACATCGATGAGATACCATCTCACAAGAAACACAACAGTAAGCAAAAGAGTAACAATCAGTAGTTGATAAAATGTACTGAGTTTGCTCTAGTAGGAGAGTACAAAAGGCAGATTATGATGTTACAGGGGACAGAGAGGTTCAGCGGCATCCAGCGTCCTGAGAATATTTGCATTTATTCTGAAAATTCTCAGAATATTCAGGCAGCAGGTGGAATACAATCTATTTAATTCTATCACAACATGGAAAGAATTCTGCACATAGTAGCCTCAGCTATATTCATCAAGGATATGGATATGCTAGGATAGACGTGGACCTCAGGTTTTCTTTAGTGGAGCAGCAATAGTCAAACGTAGAAAATTTGGTGGGAAAGTGGTTTTGAATGTATTCAAACACTGCCCACTCACACAGAACTCTACCTGTGCTGTTATAGTTTGTAAATCTTATCTACATGTGCTTTTTAATATCATGTCCTAGTGGTCATTTGAGCAATTTCTGATTTTCACACAACTTAGTTTATAGTTTATATTTTTTAAAAAAAGTTTTAATAAAACTCAATTATGGGGCTGGAGAGATGGCTCAGCAGTTAAGGGCACTGACTGCTCTTGCAGAGGTCCTGGGTTTGAGTCCCAGCACCCATATGGAGGCTATGAACAGTCCTTAACTCCAGTTCCAGGGGAATCCAAGGCCCTCTTCTGACCTCCATGGCATTGCATGACACAGGTGCACTCACACACATTCAGGCAATACATTTGTAGACATAAAATAAAATTAAAAATTAAAAAAGCTTAATTATTATCACAGGCAAAGCAATTACCCACATTTTTACATGAGGTCATGTTTTTGACACTGTGTAGACACACCCAGTGTATTGACTTCAGATTCCTTTATATATAGACTAGTGATACCAGTGGGAAAAAAATATACAGATTTGGATTGGATAGTGACTACTGGTGAAAATTCACTAAGAGTTGAGGGGAGAGATAGACTTAAGACAAGGAGTTACATAATGTTAGAAGCACATTAACAACCTTTATAGTTTCTCTGTTGCAACATCTTAAGATTCAACCACAAGCAGTTCTAAATTGTCTACAGAAAATATGTTTTCTTGAACTGCTTGTTATCATTTGTATTTCTTTCTGCTTTGATTCAATGAAGGAATTTGTTGATATTTAAATTAACATCTCCAAGTATGTAGTTATCATGTCTAGGTCACTTCTGTAAAATGAAATTAGCATAATAAATATCTATGTAAGAGGTGCATTCATGTGTAATAATAAATAGCAAATTCTTCAATCCTTCTGTGCAAACTTCATTTCTCTCATTTTAAAAGTTGAATAAATTCTTCCAAAGTGTTGAGTTCATTCCAGGATATCTTCTTTGCTCTATTAATTAAACTTTGGAATACTGAAGCTGGCTAGTGAAAATGACTGGATAAAAAATATTATTCTATGCATTTAATCCACAGTCAACAAAAAAATAAGTTAAATAAATTCAAATAAACACACCCATAGATAGACACATATGAACTCATAACTATTAATTTACTTAGTTACTTACGAAAATTAAATAATAAAAGTAACAAATATATTGAGACATTTCCTGAAAAATTACATAGGTTAAAAATGTAAATCAATGATTATATGCTGTATGCCCATATGAAATGAGGTATGATTACATTTTATTCAATGAAACAGATCAAATTTTAGATTGAAATTATTTTAGTTTAAAAAATAAAGTCATCAATAACAACTTTATAGATAAGGTGTTCTTAAAGCTGTAAAGGAAAGGAATATCAAACAAAACTTTGAGGCAGGTTATTACAATTTGCTTCCTTTCAGTGGATTAGGCACTGAAAGTACAAAAAGGGAAATCTGATGCTTAGTACATAGAAAGAAAACACCCAAATGGGGAAATTTAGAGGAAATCTAAATTATAGAGTTGCACATCTGGTCAGGAACAGAGAACATACACCTGGGAGATGCCCAGTACAAGGTGACACATCTGCAGTTGAATCTCTACAACTAAGGCTCATAGAACATAGCAGAATAAGCAGTAGAGAGAGGGCTAATGACCCCACAACTCTCACCAGTGAGGCCCCCTTGTACATCAGAGTGTGATGCACACATCTGGCCATCTTTAGAAAATAAGAGACTCTAAAGTGTAGGATGAGACTCCTGTACACAACCTCACCCACCCCAAGTTCAGGGATCATTGCAGAAGAGGAGACAGAAAGAGTGTTAGATCCAGGGGTCGTTCATGATTACAGGGATGTGGAGGCTTCTAGGCCAATGGAGGTTTGCTCATGTGAGATGGTGTCAGCAGTGGCATCTAATATGGGATCCATGTCAGCTCACTGAAACAAGGGCCCAAAGGGCAGGTGAAAGATAGGTGGTGGGTCAGCACTAGATTGAGAAGTATTTGAGACTGATTGCTACTGGGTGAGGGAGAGTATGACTTACGTATGACCACTGGATGGGCTGACTAGACTCTAGTGGCCGCATTTACACTGAAGGACACTTGGGTCTAAACACCTGAATGCATAGGATTCAGCGTGTATGGCAGAGTGCATAGGGTTCAGTGGGAGGAGAGGAGGATGCATGGATGTGGGAGAGGGATCTGGGTTTGAGTGGGAAATGTTGTATGAAATTTAAATAGCTCAATAAGAAATTAATAAATAAAAAAGAAAGAGAAACAGCAGTTAAATGAAGTAGTCCAAAAGCAAATATAAGTATCATGAAAAAATAAAGAAGTACTGGGGAAAATATTTAGTACTAATTTAACATAAAAGCTCCAAAAGCAGGAACTCTAAAGAAAAAGCTAAGACAAGACAACAGAACATGAAAAGTAAGGCAGGCAATCTGAGGGAATAAATTAAGGAGAAATAACACAGTTGAATGCCATAAAGTGGAAATGGAGTGGAAAGGAGATAATTGATAGTATGAGAAGACAAATCGGCTCTACACAGAGCAAGCTGAAGAAAATCATAGCTAATATGAAGGGGGCAAAGGAAGCCAGTTGGATTCTAGGAAGGGCAGCATGGCTAAGACAGATGAAGGAAAATTCAAATAGTAATCTTTTAGTTTATTTGAAGGAACGGGCACAAAATGAACTGAGAACTAATGAAACAAACTAACAAAAAATACAATGACTTTCCAAGAAATAAGGAAAGTATTAATATTTAACAAAACACTATTGCAAGCATTTCAGACAAAAGGTAAAGACATTTGATGGCTGAAATATTTAACATCAATCCTAATTCTAAATTCTTCTTTATATTCAAAGCCTATTCATGTTGCTGCTGTTCGTCCCATTACATATGGAACATACTTCCCTGTCTCAATGATATGATTAGGTAGAACTTGTCATTTTCTTTGATAATTGTTATGTGTCAAGGGAAGACCCAGAAGCCTCCATTTTTGTTGTGAGACTATTCCACACTCATAGAAGATTGTCAGTGTCCCACTATCTACTTCTCATTTATATGTTCCAATCCCTAGCTCACTCAGTGAGCCAGTGAACATAGTTAACATAAGGAAAAGATAAGATCCAAACTTCAGTGGGGTGATACGTCTGAGTGAACTCATGCTTTATGAAACACATTCCTAAATAATCTGTCAACATTATATAAAAGAAAATGATTGCTTGAAGTCCAAGAATATTCTTTTAACTTTAAAAAAATTATTGAAAATTCCATACATGCATATAAGGTGTTTTGGTCAAATACACACCCACTCCCTCCCTTCCAACCCCTCCCACATCTCCCCATCACTTACAAGTGACAACATCATGTACTCTTTCTTTTTCAGGGGTGGGGCTTTTTGCTGCTCTAATGTTCCCCCCTCTGAAGAGGAAGTTCAAGAATTGTCCATTCATTGTTTTCATGACATTTTGTACCAGTGGTTGACAGATGTATTGACCAATATACTATTCTATTGAATCCATTCAACTCCAATTTAAAGTAATGATCTGTGAACTTGCATGGAGACACACTCATTGAGCATATGAAAAAGACATCAGTAAATATTGGTTGTTATGAATAAAATCCACAGAAAAGATATTTACCTTAAAAGAAAACAAATACTAGCAAACTGACCTCTAACTACTCAGGGATACTGAAGGAATCCAAAATATATTTATACTAGTGTAGTTAAAGAAAGTTTTAAAGCATACATGGTTCCTCAAACCTCCTTTCAGAATATACTAATAGTTGATATAACAGATTACAATTCTGTTTAATTCTCACTAAATGATTTGCCCAAATTTTTCATTCATTTTTGGTCATTTGTATACCTTTCCCATCACTGACTGTCTGCCCCTATGGTCTCTTTAGACATTCATGCACAAACACACACACACGCACACACACACACACACACACGCACACACACACTCACACAAGAACACATACACCACAGAAACACACACCTTTATTGCATTCCCAATGTAATGGATACATGTAATTTGAAAGTTTGGCTAATTTTTTATTACTATGTATTTACCAAGTCAATATATAGTTGAAAAGCAACAAAGACAAAAGAGAATTAATACATATTTTAATACCTTGAGAACAATGTTACAAAAATGAATATCCAGAAAGTTTTAAAGGAAAAATTCTCTAATAAGCTTTTCTATTAAAGCATATCCATATAAAATTTCTAAATAAAGTTTTTTTTCAGAAATATTCTAGAATAACTTTTGAGCTCTAAACAGATAACAAAAATCATATTATAAAAACATATCATAACAAAATAAGTCCTAGTGGTGGCAATGATCCAAGTTCTGCTCATTTTTTTTTGTCAGTGTTTGCTAGAGGAAACATAAAGTGCTCCATAGAGTATGAGGCAGTTTCTCAATCCTCAAAATTTAGTTTTCTTTCAAACAGACTACCTCTTGCAAAATCCTACCAGGATTAATTTCACAACATAAATTTTGGGAGGGAGAAGATATTCAAATCATAATAGCCTATTCACCAAACAAGGAAAGAACAATAAAATAATATTTTCAATTGCGACAATTAAATATTAGTAATGTGAAATTACAAAATTTACTTATGAATCCACTATTATTAATGAATTCTCAGTCACAATAAAAAAAACTAATAGTCCATTTAAATTCTAAGATATTATTGCATTTAAAGTTAAAATAAAGTTGTTTTTAAAGTTCAAATACAAGGTCAGTGGGATGGCTGAGCATGTAAAATTTTCACACAAATCTCATGACCTGAGTTTGATCCCAGAACCCACTGAGGCAGAAGAGAATTGACTGCTAAAAGCTGTCTTCTGAACTCCAAATATGTACCATGCCAGAAAATGCCTACACTCGCAGACACATATCATACATGTACAAAATAATAATGAATTAACTAAATATTGTTTAAATACAAGGATCTTTGTGATTTTCATAGACTATAGTTTGATGGGATCCCATCACCTATCCTAAACCTCCCATTGCTCCCCTCCCAATTCAATGTTTATTGTACATATATAAATATGTAAAATGCAGTCTACAGAGTCTGAGTTGTGTACACAAATATCCTTTGATGCTTTTCTATCCACTGGGCCCACCAAGAGACCCATCCATGTAAGGCTCTGTCGTTCCCTCTCCGATTAGTGGTCAATTGACCAAAGTTACTTAGAATGGGTTGGAATTTATTATTTTTATTTTATTTTTTATGTGTATGAGTGCATGTGTGTAAATGCAGCCTTTTTGTGCACTGCTCATAGAAGTCAGAAGAGGCTTTGGATCCCTGGAACTAGAGTTACAGGTGATTGTTAGCTATCACATGGGTTCTGGGAATTGAACTAGAGTCCTCTACAGAAGCAGCCAGTGTTCTTAACCACTGAGCTGTATCTCTGGCCCCCTGGGTTGGAATTCTTATTCAAGTCCTCATTTCTATGCTGGGATTTTTGTCTGGTTTGTGCGTTGCATAGGACTTGTGCATGTTATTATCTTTGCTATGAGTTCATATGAGTAAATGACTAGCTGTCTGGAAGACTGTTTCCTTGTGGTCATCCATACACTATGGCTCTTACAGCTTTTCAGCCTCCTCTTTCACAATGATTCCTGAGCCTTGGGAGGCAGAGGTTTAAAATGCCTGTCCTATCCATGGATATATATTTTGTGGCCTCTTGTTCTTTGCACATTGGCCAATTGTGGGTTTCTGTGCTAATCACTATGTTCTAAAGTCCATAATTTAAAAAAAAAATAAGAATTATTTATATCTAAAACAATTTTCCCTAACTGGATGTGTAACTTACTTAAAATATATTTCTTAACAGAAAGAGAATGCCTCAGACTGTAATGCCTCAGACTTGATACAAAAGAAAGAGAGAAGAAAGACAATATTAACCATTTATAATTTAGGATCACTAGAACGGCCATGCCTGCGGCTTTTCTGTTTTTCCTTAGCCCCCTTTAAGGTGTATGTGTTTTAATAAATATCTGTTTCATAAATTAATCCAAATTTTCATTTAC